TGGGGCCAAAAATAGTTTATTACTTGGAAATGGTTGAGATCTCCACTGTATAACCATATATACAATTGCTGAGTATAAAGAGAAGAATGCACATTTGCTTCCAGGATTGCTCTAGGGTCTTGCCCCACCCTTGGAGACATGGTCCCTGGGTCATAACTTTGAAACGGTTGAGATCCCCACCCCAGAACTATATATACAAATGCTGGGCATATAGAGACCAATGCAGTCACGATATTAGAATAGACCCGTGGGTCTGACAAAACCCTACGGGTCACAATGAATGACGTTGACCGACTAAAATACTTTGTAATATCAAATTGATATATTTTCTCTTGAATTACAATGTAAACTTTGGTTAAGAAGTAGTTAAATGCCAGAATTGTTTTTTAAGCAACTGTTATTGTTATTGTATTTTGTTACCAATAAAACCTACTCACCTAAATTTTCTGTAACACTAAACCGTTTTTAGCTCACATGCCCGAAGGGCTAGTGAGCCTATGTCATGGTGCGGCATCCATCGTCCGTCCGTCAGTCCGTCCGTGCGTCCTCGTCCTTCAACTTTTCCTTTAAACAACTTCTTCTCAAGAACGAACAGGCCTAGAGTCATGATATATGACTGAAAGCTTTGTTGAGAACGAAAATGACCTTGACCTACTTTCAAGGTCACAGGGGTCAACTATATCAAAAACTTCAAACGACTTCTTCTGAAGAACTGGAAGTTATAGAACCTTAATATTTGGCTGGTTATTTCATGGGAAAGAGCCCAACAAAGTTTGCGAATGAAAGTGACCTTGACCTACTTTCAAGGTCACAGGAGTCAGATATGTCTAACGCTTAGAACAACATCTTCTGAAGAACTGAAAGGTATAAAATCTTAATATTTGGCAGGTGGCTTCCTGGGAAAGTGCCAAACAATGTTTGCGAATGAAAATGACCTGACTTACTTTCAAGGTCACAGTGTTTGAATATGTCAAACAGTTCAAACTATTTCTTCTGAAGAATCAAAAGGCATAAAATTATAATATTTGGCTGGTGACTTCCTAGGATAGAGCTCACCAAAGTTTGCGAATGAAAATGACCTCAACCTACTTTAGAGGTCACAGAGATCATCAAAGGAATGGATTAATAAGATTTGGCTGGTAGCTATTTGGAATAGAGCTAACCAATTTGAGAAGGAAAATGACATTGACCTACTTACAAGGTCACAGGGAAAAATATGTCAAGCAACTTCTGAAGAAGAATCAAAAAGCATAGAATCTTATAATAATAGTTTGCTGGTAGTTTCAACAGATGGAGCTAACAATGTTTGCGAGGGAAATATTTTTAGTGGAATATAATACTTAATGAGAATATTTTGCTATGACTGCTTAAATATTCAGGTGAGCGATACAGGCTCTCTTGGGCCTCTTGTTATATATAGAGGTTCATGGTTTGACACAGGTCAAAGAGGAATGCTGGGCATTGTAAATTTTGGAAAGGACACCAGAACAGCTAAATTGTGAGGGACTCCATGCTCCATTAATTATCACAAACATTCCCAGGTATTCCTCAAGCTTATATCAGTTGACCTAAATTTTCCTTATTTTTTCTGGTAACTAACAAGTCACTTCATAGTAGAGGGGGATACATTGAAAAAGGGAAGAAATGGACTGTGAACAGTGGAAAGAAGGGAAGGAATGGACTGTGAACAGTGGAAAGAATGGAAGGAATGGACTGTGAACAGTGGAAAGAAGGGAAGGAAAGGACTGAACAGTGGAAAGAATGGAAGGAATTGACTGAACAGTGGAAAGAAGGGAAGGAATGGACTGTGAACAGTGGTAAGAAGGGAAGGAAAGGAATGAACAGTGGAAAGAAGGGAAGGAATGGACTGTGAACAGTGAAAAGAAGGTAAGGAATGGACTGTGAACAGTGGAAAGAAGGGAAGGAATGGACTGTGAACAGTGGTAAGAAGGGAAGGAATGGACTGTAAACAGTGGGAAGAAGGGAAGGAATGGACTGTGAACAGTGGAAAGAATGGAAGGAAAGGACTGTGAACAGTGGAAAGAAGGGAAGGAATGGACTGAACAGTGGAAAGACGGGAAGGAATGGACTGTGAACAGTGGAAAGAAGGGAAGGAATGGACTGCGAACAGTGGGAAGAAGGGAAGGAATGGACTGTGAACAGTGAAAAGAAGGTAAGGAATGGACTGTGAACAGTGAAAAGAAGGTAAGGAATGGACTGTGAACAGTGGTAAGAAGGGAGGGAATGGACTGTGAACAGTGGAAAGATAGGAAGGAAAGGACTGTGAACAGGGGAAAGAAGGGAAGGAAGGGTCTGAACAGTGGAAAGAAGGGAAGAAATGGACTGTGAACAGTGGAAAGAAAGGAAGGAAAGGACTGTGAACAGGGGAAAGAAGGGAAGGAATGGGCTGAACAGTGGAAAGAAGGGAAGGAATGGACTGTGAACAGTGGAAAGAAGGGAAGGAATGGACTGTGAACAGCGGAAAGAAGGGATCGACTCAGGAACAGAAACCAGGGATTTATGAACAAAAAAAGTCACCTGCAAACAGAGGAAAGGGACTTGTAATCATAGTAGTTGTCAGAGGGAGACACTTGATTAACAGAGAGGGAGAGACTTGTGAACAAACCCTGTGTGATTTGTTAACAATGGAAGACTGACTAATGTATACAGAGAGACTTGTTATCAAAGGTTAAGATTTGTAGAAAAAAAATAAGAAAGATTTGTTAAAAGGGGAAAAGACTTGTGAACAGAGGGAGGGATTTATGAGCAGACTGGAAGGGACTTGTCAACTGAGTGAAATAATTATCAAAGTTAAAAAAGTTGTTGAAAATGGGAGAGATGTGTTTATAGAGCACAGGTACCAGCTTCGTCTGTCAATACATCTATTATATTATATTATAGGTGTATTGACAGACGAGGCCGGTACCTGTGAATAGAGGGAAAGACTAGTGAAAAGAGGAAGAGTTTTATGAACAGAGGGACAGACTTGTTAACTGAGGGAAATACTTATCGAAGTTAAAAAGTTAGAGACAGACGTGTTAGCAATCGAAATGATTCTTAACGGAGGAAGAGACTTGTTAAAAGGAAGGAACATTTTGAACAGAAGGACAGACTTAACCTATGAACACTAGAAGAGGCTTCGTTGTTTATAGAATATGAGACTTGTTAACAGAGGAAAGGATTTATTAACAGTTAAAAAAGCAAACACAGAAGAGATGTGTTAACAATGGGGGGGAACTTTCAAACATTTGGAGTAACTTGTTTATATACATATACATGTAGGGTCCGTGCTTAACAGGGGAAGAAAGACAAGTTAACAGTTGAAAGGATTTGTTCACAAAAGAAAGAGACTTGTGAACAAGATGAGAACATTTTTAAGACTGGAGAATGAGTAAATAGGTGAGATTTGTGTACAGAAGGGATCGATAGGGGACCTTAAATAATGTCAACAGTAGAAACTATAGTTGACAGTGAGTGGAAAGAATTTGTATAACCATATAGGGGAGACACTTTTTAATTTGAGGCGAGATTTGCTCACATTAGAGGGCATTTGTTAATTTTTAATTCTTTATTTATTTTACGAGGATTACAAACAGCCCGAAGGCTACTAGATGCTCTCCTCAACATATATCAAACATACAATATGTACAATTACACAAAAGACGTACAAAAGTCGCACACACTTGCACTCGCACATACACACATTACAGAGAGAGAGAGAGTCAGAATCTGTTTGAATTTACGATATATTCAACAACATGGTCAAATAATGTTTTGTTCTCAATTTCGTTTAGAGTTTCTAATCCACACAAAATTATTTTGACAAGAACATTTGGCATGAGCTCTACAATAAGGTTGGAATTGATATTTGGAGCATATATATGACAAACAGCACGGAGCATATTGGAACGAATTCGGTTATATTTTGGACAAAGTAAAAAGAAATGAATTTCATCTTCGGAGGAGTTCGCGCAGATTAGTCACAGAATTTATTATTAGTTAAATTGTAAGAGTATCTATGTTTGTTTAAAGCACTTAGTCCCATTCTTATTCTAGAGTGATTGATTTTTCCTTTCCCATGTCCATATGCATATAAAGAGTTTGTTTGTGGAGTGGATAGATTTTGTTAACAGCTTGATTGATATGTGTTACAGAGCGGAAGTTGTTAACAAACCAAAAAGGAGACATATACAAACTTGGTATGGTACAGCGTAGAGCTGAAAGATTTGTCACTAGCCGCTAGTCCCCATAACACCTCAAGTGTTAGTGACATGTCTGCATCATCCAACCTCTATTTAACTGGCCCAGCCTCACTGATAGACGTAAGTTAGGACAATCCAGACATTCTCATCATCTCTCCTATCAGATTCCTCACTGTAAAAATGACTGTCGTAAATTCTCTTTCTTTTCTAGAACTATACCAGAGCTAGTGGAATATTAAATTGCCTCCTGATCTGGTTACTTCGGAATCTCTTGACACCTTTTAAACCAAAATACACTCTCTATATCATTAGTATTTCATACACACAACATCCTTCTTTGCCTGGCACACACTCACAAACCCTACATTGACATCATCTTCAATATGATGAAGTAGGTCAATTATTTGGTAGACGTAAAATTATTAAACTGTTACAGAGAGAGAACCCTTACATACGTGTATTTTATGTCTGCTGTGACCTTTATCAGTATATATATAGCACACAATGTCAATTGTATGTGAATTTCAGATATTTGTAACAAACCCTAAAAACTATAAAATGTAAAAGACAGGGAGGTGTGACTTTTGGACAGACAGAACGTGAGATGGTGAGATAAACTTAAGACTAGACAAAAATGTGACAAATCGAAAGTAGGGTTTCTATTTCGGAAGTCTCTTTATAATTGCCGTCAAACAAAAGTTCGAGGAGTTCCGATGTATTTGTAAACAAAAGCGTTTGGTAAGCATGTGATCGCCTCCAGTCGAGCGGAGATACCAGAAATAAACAGGATGTTGTCAACAGCGGCTGTCGTGTTCATTTTAGTCAGCGTAACATTCGCCCTTCCTTCTGATTTCAAACTTCCAAAATTGAAAGAAGCTGGAACACAGTGGGCTTTGCTTGTCGCTGGATCCAATGGTTGGGGAAATTACAGACACCAGGTAAAAAGTAGATTTTGTGACATTGTTATTGTATCATTACCTGTTGATCAAAGTTTTCAAATATTTCAAGAGTTGTAATACTTTTAAGTTTAACTAACGAAGATCTGGTCAATTTACCCTATCATGTATTTGAGGAAATGTTGAACATTGTACTATCATAGGGGGATATATTTCTGTGCCCTAAATTTATTTTTTAAATTTGTTTTTATGAATTGTTAATACAAGTGTTTATATTCAAAGATTTTTCAGATGATATTTTATTTATCAATTTCCAAGACCTGACAAACAGGTTAAATATATTTATGTAAAGAAATATGGGTCAAAGAAGTAATATAGACGGTAAAATCCCATATAACACTGGATCCTAATGGTCACTAAAGGTATGTCCGTAGGATACAAATTACTTAAATAGTATATGGGGCAGAGAAGTTATTCCAACAGTGTGGACAAGTTTAGGTTGTCAAACTTTTGGAGCGATCACATTTACCGGGCCAGATTCCAACATGCACATGTTCCACGTTTTTGATATCTCGTCCCTTCTTTCTGGTGCTTATCTCTGACGTTGACTCACTTTATGTGATAGTGCATCTTGCACAAGAATAGTTCCTCTACATCAGCGTTCCTTGTCCGCGATGTTCTCAGCTTAATTGCTGCCTTCAGCTGTCTTTAGCCGTCTCAGGGGGACTATTGGTTTTATATAATAGCTATATTTTCAATTATAGTATATCAGTTCTATCTTCTTGTAATATGATGTATATGTACATGTAACTGTTCTGTTTCACTGTGTCTTGATAAAGGGGCGGATCACTCCGAAAATTTGACAACCTAAACTTGTCCACACTGTTGGAATTACTTCTTTGCCCCATATGTAAAGAAATATGTACACAACACCACAATATTCTTTGAATTTAAGTCAACATTACAATGTTCTAATGAATAATGACTACCTTCAACAGGATGAAAATCTGTCATCACAGCGATAGCAAATGAAGCTTATAATAGTGCATATATATATTGGATTTTATAAGGAAAAAGATTAGACGTTAAACGTTTGGGGATTGGGTGGGGAAGTGGGCGTAAAAAGCTTTTGTACTGTGGCAGGATAAAGTCTGATTGAGTGAAATTAAGTGTTTTTCATAAGTATGATAATTTTTTTATAACAATAAAATTTCTCACTCCACTTATAATAGTACTTAAGTACAATGAATTCATTCGGTTAATTATCAGAATGAAGTGTAGACAAAATTATATATTAGCAAGTTTGTACAACTAGATTCACATGTTTTATTTGAAATTCTATACCAAGATTTTACTCTTAAAAACATTTTAAAGTTTTGTCCTGGTTTTTAACTTCGATTCATAATGATGTTACAGTCTAATACACACAGAAACATTATCACATGATGACATACCTCACACATTGAGTGGGCGTGACCTTATATATACTGTGACGCCACTTCATATATATATATATACATTGTGATGCCCACTTTTATATTTCCTCCAATAAACAGCTGTATAGCATACAAACATGTGACTTGTTCCTGTTCTAAAACATAGAATAATAACTAGTCTTATATACATAAGATATTTCATGGAAATATGGCAGTGACATCAGGTATTACAATATGTAGCTGCAGGCTGGTGGTTTTTCTCCTGGTAATCCAGTTCTGCTCTACCACCATAACCTAGCACATCCTTAAATGACATCAGCTGTTAATATGACTAAAGCACTCACCCGAAACAAACAACATAATTATTTTTTTAAAGAAATAACACTTTATCTGTTTGAAGTTTGTAAGATTAGTGATTGTTGTAACTGAACTATTTGTTACGTAGAGGTTCCCAATGAGTGATGGTTGGTTGTCATGTTTCAAATTATATAAAGACAGAAGGTTTAGATAAACATCAATCCTCACAAGCTTGGGGACCTTTTTCTCCCACAACATTCAAATATAATATCTAGAAAAACCTGAGTGATGTTTTTCTTGGGAATACATTATTTCTGTTTCCGCAGGGGGTAACAATTGCAATGAACTGTGACATCAAAATGGAAGATGGCATCCCAATTAAGCATCGTTATTTGATATCATAATTAGAGGTTGACCAATTAAATTGTGTCCAGGGTGTTCCTTATAATTAATATAAATAATGCATTTAAAGATGAGTTTCCATTTCATATGAGATCTGTAAAACCAGTCTGCTAGATCTGACAAAACCACATATTGACTTTACATAAATATTAGATAAAATAACGGTGTTTAAATTAATTTGCCCCTCCCCTTCTAAAAATATAGATCTTGGACTTGAGCAAGACTACATAAACATGTTCGGAAGTCTTGCTTGATTGCTCAAGTCCATTCCATTTATGCATACCTGTTATGTATGATAAATTGGGATATTTAACCTGTTTCTGAAGAGTCAATCGCTGTTATTCCTGTTAGTAAAATGTCATGAAACATCTTCACTTGCCAGGGGTTACTATTCGGATCAGAACACTTGGCTATAATATACATATATATAAATTGAAGATGAAACTCAACCAATAGTCCCATTCCCTTCCCCACCCCTAAAATCATTGGTGATTTAATATTGCTTTTCAGAATAATTAAAATTTCATGCATCTGCATGGTATTAGAAATAAAAATATAATAGAAATTGGAAGTCAGGAATGATGGGTTTTAATTTTGAAAATTTAAAAAAAAGTTTCATTATTTATAATTGCTAGAATTTGTCATAAGTTGGAAATATATTGACCCTTTACGCTCTTTTTAATTAGTTTGTGTGCTATCCAATTTACTGTACTTACAATATTTAATTTCTTAAGTGGCAGAAAGAATTATAGATACCATGCAGTACCGTAAAAAACTAATAATAATTACAGAGAACCAATTTTGTTATCCATCCCGTAGTTAGATATATGAACTGAATATACTTTCTAATAATTAATCATCAAATTAATGTTGTGAACACAATTAAAATTACTCTCATAGGGATTTATGTTATTTAAATGTCCTTGCCCTTGTTAGAATTTGTTCAAACTGTATTGAGCCGACAGCAGAGGATTTTTTTAAAGTCCAACAGTCAGAATAAAATCTGTATCTATAGTTTTCTTATTGGCAACATTCATAAGTGTTGAAGTTTTCACAATGAAATTTTGTAAAATTCAGATACGAGGAGACATGTATACAGGCCCTCTGTGCCTCTTTTAAGACACAATAATCAAGTTACTGACCTTTTGGTACCACATGTATATACTAATGTATTCAAATACTTAACTCAATTATATATATCTATATAACATACACTTGGTGGGTTTGGGGGCCTGGTACTATACTTAATAACAGACTTGACCTTTGACATGCATAATAAATTAAGACCATATGTTAATTACAAGACCATATGTTGACACAGGAAAACTCAATCTGTTTGATTATATATAGATTACTAGGCTGGTGACCGGGACCTAAGTGGAACTATATAATGTTTGTTCCAAGCTGTGCCTGGTCCTGGGATCTGGGACTGTCTCCCCTTACCAGAACACATGACTTTTATAATCTTTATCTTATCAATGTATTTATTAAGTTATTCAAGTACTTTAGGGTCAGTTTTTGAAGTATTTGTTAGCTTAACGTAGTGTGATGAAAATGGTAAGACTATATAGATATATTAAGAATATATTTAAGCAATTTACTCATTTTTGTTTTGTTTACACAAGATCATTCTTAAAAGATATACACATGTCGATACCTGTTGAGATTTAGTGGTGAATTTTATGAGTTTTAAAAAATAGTCAGATAAATAAATTTGAGAAAATTGAGTTAAAGTTGTTAAAGCTGTCCATGCTTTTGAAGATTGAACTATTAAAGTCTTGTGATGGCCAAGCCTTCTCTCACATGGTGTTTCATCATTTTGATCGCTTTGTACATGATTCAGAATAAACTATTGCCATGGTCAATAGTATTAGGGACACATGATTAAACAAGTTATAAACAAAAACATACATGATATCATTTTTTTCACTGGGGTCTCAACATTGGCTCTTGAAACTAAAAGAGAACATACATACAGGAATTTTGATGGAATAAAAACATATATAGTTTAAGGTCAAAGGTCACAAGCTGTAGTCAACTTAGATAAAGGTCAAATGTTTGCATAAAATCTCATCAGTATAAATATATTTTACAGTATTATATCATGATATGTACATAAAATCTCATCAGTATGTGTATTATATATCATAATATTCACATAAAATCTCATCAGTATGTATATTATATATCATAATATTCACATAAAATCTCATCAGTATGTATATTATATAGCATAATATTCACATAAAATCTCACCAGTATGTATATTATATATCATCATTTTTACATAAAATATCATCAGTATATTATTAGTTACACAGATTTTTGGCAGGGTATACAGGATGGTATGACCCTACAGGATTTCGTATTTCCTTCGGCCACGAATTTATTACCCCTTTGAGTCTTTTATAATAAAAACAAAGAAAAATATATTTCCTCATCAGTATGCGAAGCGAAACGGTTTGGCATTTTGTAAACAGCGAAGCAGACGACGAATGCGAGTTGTCTCCCGTTGCCCGGCCACAAGATACAAAGACACGTGACCCGTATACCCCTTGTAAAATCATGTGATTCCACCGTATTACTGCTGAGAATCACGTGACATGACCGTATACCCCCTGAGATTTTCGTATACCCCCTGAGATTTTCGAATGCACTGTACACTGTAGTTTTTAACCAAACAGATTCCTAGATTTTTCTCAAAGGGGTAATAATAATATATATCATATATCATATATATATATATATCCTAAGATTTGCATATGCAACAATATGCTGTTTGGGACACTGCCAGAAATGTGCAGTGGAGACTATATATAGCTACTGTACATGCAGTCAAGTAATTTCATTAAATTGACTTTCATTATAAAAAAAAACCAGTAACATATTTAAATATTTTATATTTATTGCAATGAAAAGTATATCAATACATATGTCATTATATTTAATTTAGATATAAGTCATTCAATACATCAGTTGTAAGTCATTGGTTCAAAGGCACCATACTATCCGCAGTGGTGCTGTAATAAGTTATGGCCTTGACAGAAGTATAGCATCCCGAGCAAGTGATTTATTTGGTTGTACACATTTACATAGAAGTATGTGAGTGTTGATAGTCAAGACTATGGTATGTTAACCATTTCACCACTGTAGACCATAATGGACTCGTCCAGATTGATGCACGGTAGAGTCTACTAAAGTTACATAGGGGTGAAAGGGTTAAGTGTTTGAGTGATAGATTTCTTGTTTCTGTAACAATATATTTACTTTTAGAAATGATTTTATCAGGTAACACTAATTGTGGTATTAATTACTAATTGATTGTGAGAAATTAATAATTAGGAATAAATTATACATTCATTATTAACTTTAAATCCTGAGTTATACTAATTGATAAAGCTCTGTGTGCATTGAAAGTTCCCTGTAATGATATAGACTTACTCTAGTTTATTATTGTGTATGATCGGTCCCCTGACCTCTATTTTCAGGCAGACGTGTGCCATGCCTACAATATTGTGCGTGGCCATGGCGTGCCAGAGGAACAGATCATTGTGATGATGTATGACGATATAGCCTACAACAAAGAGTAAGTTAAACTAATATATATTAGGGTGTACATCTGGACAATCTACTTTCTGTTTTTGTAATAGCCACTGTGACCAAGTGGTTAAGGCATCGGACGTACCGTATGCAATCACAAGCCCTCTTTTTAACCACTGGGTCGCTTGTTTGAGGTCTACGTGGGGCAGTCACCAGGTACTAACCTCAGGTCATTGGGTTTTCTTCGGGTACTCTGGTTTTCCTCCACCACTAAAACCTGGCATATCCTTAAATAACCATAGCTGTTAATAGGAAGTAAATTAAAGCACAAACAAAACAAACAAAACTGATTCATATTTGTGTTATATATTATGATCTTATACATGCTAAATGGGATTTGAAAAGGGTTTTTCCCCCATTAAGGAGAAGAAATAAAAAATGAAAATTAACGCTACATTTTTACTGTTTTTTCCAAAACTCATTTGCTATGAAAATGCCTTAAATATGAAAAGAAAAGTAACATGGAAAATCGCTGTTTATCGAGGCTAAATAAACTGTGAATATATTTGAATTAATTATCACTATTCACTAATTATCAAATGTTTGGTCAATCTTATTAAATGTTTTGAACTGCATTTTCGGGATATCTATGTTGATTGCCGTCATATTTGGTCTGTTTATCTGAGTGTTAACTCTCCATACTTCTACTTGTTCATGAGAACCGGTCATGTAACCAACGATCAATCGTGATATCACTTCCATGGGTGGGTAGGATAAAAGATCTTGTTCATATAAGGATTGAATGGCGGTTTTTTTAAATTTTCATGCCGGTATGAATGCAAATTGGTTACATCCATATTGCATCATGTTTAATATGGATGTTACCTATTTGCGTTCATACCGGCATGATTTTTTTTTTTAAAAAATGCCATTCAGTCCATATGTTTGTACTGAAGAACAATTGTTTAATTTCATTTATTTGTTTTTGAATAATTTATTTATTTACTGCGTTTTGTGTCGTCCTTTAAACAAAATTGGGGGAACAGCCCTATTTAAATAAAATAGGTGCCAATAATTAACCGTAGTCATTTGAGCGTTTGACACAGGGGCATTATCCATGTTATCCAAAGCGAAGCAACAAGACTCTCATTGAACAAGGTTAGTCTATGACTTCAAAAGTAAACCATGTGTTACATCACGGGAGTTTTTGCATTCATAGTCAAATGAAAAGCATTTCTGCTGGTAGTGTTATATATAGTGGCAATGCTGAGCAAATGTAAATATATATTGATGTAGCACAAGTTCCTGTAGGAGCTTTGTTGGGATGCCTCTGCCCGGAACCTCCTTTAGAATTCCTGGGGAAACATGAATCTAACAAGACCTTAGAACACTTATACTCAGTGTAGTAATTATCTTATCAGGGAGTGTTACATTGTATGTGTTATCAATATCATTAGTCAAGTTGATTAGCTAAACGTGTAAATGATTAAGTAAGTAAGGAGATAAGAGTAGTTTTATTAACATCCTTTTAATAATACAGTAATTAACACAATACGTATCACACTTTGTGCAGTGAATGGAAATTAAATTAGAAGTAATTCAAAAGTCTAAAAAATGGCAGCCCAGATATGATTTTGACAATGTCATTATCAAGAAGATGTGGAGTTGCCCTGTGATTTGACTAGACACCCACGAAGAGAAGGACAGAATTATAGCCATTTGATCATGACATGTAACATGAAAGGTCAAGGTCACCATTAAACATGAAAGTGCAAGGTCACCATTACTACTTACCGATCGACCTATCATTCATTTGATGACTTTATTTATGGTGGATTTTCATGAAACAAATTTTACCTTGAAGCAGTTGCATTCTCGAGAGCTTTAGGGGATTAGGGGAACCAATGAGTGGTTTGTTTAATATGTTAAAATTTCTTTGATAGGAATCCCAACCCAGGGGAAATCATCAACCAGCCAGGTGGGGAGAATGTCTACAAAGGAGTGAAGATAGACTACAGAGGAAAGGTATGTCGCTTCCTCATTACAAAACTAGAGTAAGACTACAGAGGAAAGGTATGTCGCTTCCTCATTACGAAACTAGAGTAATACTACAGAGGAAAGGTATGGCGCTTCCTCATTACAAAACTAGAGTAAGACTACAGAGGAAAGGTATGTCGCTTCCTCATTACAAAACTAGAGTAATACTACAGAGGAAAGGTATGTTGCTTCCTCATTACGAAACTAGATTAAGACTACAGAGGAAAGGTATGTCGCTTCCTCAATACAAAACTAGAGTAAGACTACAGAGGAAAGGTATCTCGCTTCCTCATTACAAAACTAGAGTAAGACTACAGAGGAAAGGCATGTCGCTTCCTCATTACAAAACTAGAGTAAGACTACAGAGGAAAGGTATGTCGCTCCCTCATTACAAAACTAGAGTAATACTACAGAGGAAAGGTATGTTGCTTCTTCATTACGAAACTAGATTAAGACTACAGAGGAAAGGTATGTCGCTTCCTCACTACAAAACTAGAGTAAGACTACAGAGGAAAGGTATGTCGCTTCCTCATTACAAAACTAGAGTAAGACTACAGTAGTCTACTGATATAATTTCTAGATTTGAGACAAAAATAAAAATAAAAGCTTTGTGGGCAAATTCTAGTTTAGCAATTGAGGAAAGTACTTTGACCATTTTAGTTGTGTAGTCGATAAGCTGTAAGTATACAGTGAAATGTTATCATTTGTATGACTATCTAAAATTTCAACTCTTTTCTGTTTTGCAATCGGAACATCTAAAGATGGCAATGGATTTCTGACACAATCACAATATTAAAAACTGTGTATGTGTGAAAAAGTCGTTTTTCACACTTTAAATTTAAAATCTGAATTTAAACAAGAATTAATTAATCTGATGTGGTTGAAAGTGTTTTAATATATCAGATGTTTAATGTCTGTAACTGAACTTTCTGTTTGATTGAAGGATGTCAACCCGACAACATTTCTTAATGTTCTTCAAGGGAAGGAGGAAAATGTCAAGGGCATCGGCAGTGGAAAGGTTTTGAAAAGGTGGGACGAAATTCTAACTTATCAAATAGAACAAAGTGCAATTTGATTATTCTAGCGTTCATACAAAAGCATTTCAGTGTTAGAATGTTCAGTAATTAGCAGACATGTTGTGTGGGTACATGAATGTAGTTAAAATTGTAATTTAAAATTAAAATTTGCATATACGTGTAATTTAGGTCTAAACTTAATGACTTTGCATATCATATTGAAATGATTAGACACTCAATATTATTATCTCATGTTATTTGTTTCCATGCTCCTTCTTTAGTCTCAGGATGTCTAAAGATTTAGTTCTCAAACTGGCGGCCAACAGTGCCCCTATGTTGGCTGAGTTTCCCCACAAGGTTGTTCCAAATAGGACAATATACATACGTATGGGAGATAATGTTTCTTTGACCCTTTCACCCCTATGTAACTTAAGAAGACTCTACCATGCATTGATATGGATGTGTCCATTATGGTCTACAGTGGTGAAAAGGATAAGCATTGCAGCAAAATTAATGATTAAGATTTTATTTTATTTGCAGTAAATCTACTGATAATGTTTTTGTCAATTTTGTGGATCATGGAGCACCTGGCCTCATCGCCTTCCCCGACGAGTTTGTAAGTATCTCAAATAATTTATTGTTACATACAACCCAGGTACATGTACTTAAGTCATTAAATTGAAGTAACCCTACCAAGACAAAGTGTTCCATTGGGCCTGACTTGTCCCTGTAGACTTGTTAACATTGACTCGTAATCAGTCCGTGGTCACGATTTATTTAACCCTTTCACCCCTAGGTAGTTTTAGTAGACTCTACCATAGCTTTATCTGGATGAGTCCATTGTGATCCACAGTGGTGAAAGGGTTAAACCAAGTCTTTGTGTGGTAAGGATGCCTTGTCTTAAGGAGTGAAAAAAAATGTTTCGGTCGACACAATCAGATTTCTCCAGTTGCCTTATTTTATGGTGTAAAATTTAGCACATTGCAGTATTAAACTGGATTTCTGCAGTTCACATATTTTTGGGAGAGACTAATATTAACGTTAATGCATGTGGAGAATGAATTTAAATCTTTTCATGAATATAATTTTCACAAACAGTTATGGTCATTATCTAAATGACATTCTGTAAATGATGAGGTTGTACTGGATTCACAAATGAAATCAACAGGTATATTTCTTGAAATGAAGTACACACAAAGTTACTTTCTATGGAACGTAAATCTCTCCACAAGTTTCAGTTGTAATAGTTTCTTCAGTCCATTTGTTGCATCACAGTATGTACTCTGAATTATCTGACCTTGTTTCAGCTTCATGCCGTGGATTTGAATATTGTCCTGGACCGAATGCATGACAACAAGCAGTATCATCAGGTATGGTTATATGTCCAGCTTAACACATGTGTGAATTCACCAGAATGGTTTTAAAATCTGAAAAATAGCTTCAATAGCTTATTAGCAGGCTGGGATAACTTGTATTGTGAATTTTAAAGATTCCCAGAATTTATCGTTAATTTTGTTTATTAACAGCTTTTGTTTTACCTGGAGACGTGCGAGTCTGGTTCAATGTTCAGCTCCCTGCTTAGGAAGGACTACAACAGTAAGTGTTTGTACAAAACAACTATAAAGGAAATACAGGTGAATGAAACTTTGACCGCATTGGGAATGGGACAGAAAAATCTTAGCCTAAGGGATAAGATTCTTAAATGTCCAGTCCTCCGGCGTAGCCTGATGCTTTAAATGTCCAGTCCTCCAGCGTAGCCTGATGTTTTAAATGTCCAGTCCTCCGGCATAGCCTGATGTTTTAAATGTCCAGTCCTCTGGCATAGCCTGATTTTGGAAAAGGGTTTCAAAAGTCTTGCTAGCTGGCAATATATGGGGAATTAATTTTTCTTCCAGTCTTAAGGATGGTGTTTCAGTCAAAAAAAAAGCTTTCTAACCAAACGTTCAGCTGAATATGATCGTACACATTACAGTACATATGTGAACCCACATTGTCATCTTCCACAACAAGTATATTCTCCTAAGATTTTGAGGAAATTTCTTATAAATGCTAGGTATGATGATATCTCAAATGAGTTAACATTTCAGGATGCTTTCTCAAGGTTCAGGTCACTTTTTAATTTTTAGAAAAACGTTGTCATCATTTGAAAAACCTTTTGAAATTTACATGGGGATGATTTTGTGTGCTAAAGATTAAAAATGATAAATAAAATCAGTGTACAGGAATATTACCACAAGGGACAAAAAAACACTTCCAAACGGCATGTTAGGAGTTGTTCTATCAGTTGCAATAACTAGATCATAGAATAAAGGAATAGTTTAGAAAATTCTACTGCCTTGAAATATCAATTTAAGGGTCCGAAATCAGAAGTCTACCCCCAATATAGAGAGCGCTGGCAAGTATGATCACTCATACCACTTTACAATGATATACGCAAGTGCTTAATTGCTTAATGTATTACAAAACAATGAAAGATGTGTTAGTTGAAGGTGATCCGCTTAAGGTCATGATCACTGTTTTAATTCTTAAAAATTATTTGTCGTTACAGCAGCAACTTCCAGGTATCTTTAAGACAAGTAATTTTGATATGATGATACCTTCAGGAGTATGTGTTTCAAGATGATGCAGTTAAGGTCAAGGTCACTTACTATTTGTAGATGATCTGTTTCGTTGTTCTGGCAATATTTTCAGGACATCCATTGGCGACTATGATTAACATTTAACATTTTGTTGACTTAATCTTGAGGTTTTTTATTGACAGTTTTGGCCGTAACGGCCGCCAATTCCACCCAGTCCTCCTTTGCCTGTTATTTTGACACGAAGCTGAGGACATTCTTAGGAGATTTGTTCAGTGTTAATTGGATGCAAAACTCAGACAATGTGAGTTATCTGAAATGTCTGGTCAAACGAGATTTGTTTAGTTTGCCTATGTTTTTATTTTGTGATAAAAGAGGATCATTATTTCTTCAATAAGATACATCAGTTTGGAAATATGTGATATCCAAGTTTACCTTTTTCACACACAAAAAAGTAAAACTTTGATTATCAGGATCATTATTTATCTCGATATTTCAAAAAAATATTTTCAAATATGACCTTATAATATGAGATTCGACAAACAGTGACTGGGTCACACAAAATCTACATCAGATACATTTGATTTGGTTAGAGGAGGATAAACACTAAATTTGCTTCGGTTAGAGGAGGATAAACACTAAATTTGCTTCTGTTAGAGGAAGGATTCTGTGAAAATGCAGTGAAATTTCTTTATATGCTTATCTGAATACTTATTTCATTTTAAGCGTAATTTGAACTCTGAGACTATTGATGAACAGTTCAGCATTGTCCGGAAGGAGACAAACAAGAGTCATGTGATGGAGTTTGGAGATTTGGTAGGAGTTCGCAACATTGTATTATATATTCTACATTGTATTACATTTACTTGAGGCTAAATTTTATCGGAATTGATTCAGGATTTGCAATAGATATCTTAATATGATAAAAACTGTCAGTTACGCTGGATAAGTATAAATAAATGCAAATTAAAAAAAAAAAAAAAGATAAAAAAAAATTGTTACCAGTATTAATGTTGATAATTACATATCTTGCATGTGAGATGTCAAATTTATCAGTTTTTATGACACTGTAAAATATATCCAATCAACACTATAAAAAGGCAAACGAAGATAAAAGTAAAGATTTGTGTAGCTATATTGTGTGTATCTTCTCTGTTTTTACACAGGCTATGAACCAATTGATGTTGTCAAATTTCCTGGGATCAGAACAAAACAATCACATTGTTTTAGATGCACCGAACCCGAACGTAAGTTTCAGTGAATTAAGAATTTTATTGAGAGGCTTCAAGGAGACTTATTAAATGTATGCATTGAAAGTCTTACATTCTTATGAGTTTTACTATGAGTGATAAAACTGCATAGAAATTGCTTGAAATTCATTCTTTATTAAAGAACGAAACCTAATGTATAGTTAACAACTCTGTCTATTGATGTAACAGTAGTGTTCTAGCTTTGTTTTAGCATTCTGTCCCATAAAATTAGAACCGATTACCGGTATGCAATTGATCATCAATCGGTTTACTACTTCCGAATACAAACCGATTATCAATTGTGAATTTAAACCAATTGCCCATCACTATGTGTGTGATTTGAAGCCTTTCTGTGTATGTGATATATCAGGTATTTTTTGGACCCTATAAACAGAGTAACTTAAAACAAAAAGTAATAAAAAGAGAACATGAAAGATTTGGATGTAGCCAATCTCTGCCTTAAAATTTTACTGTATCATTAATGTTGTGATATTTAAATCAAAGTTTAGTTGCATTAGAATGTCTAATGACACTGATAAAACATTGAGTACCGTGTAACATGTGAACAGTACAGGTCTCTTGAACCTCTTGTTCTGTAGTAATGGTACTTGTTCAAATGAAGAGCTTATTAATGCTATTTCCCTGGGAAGATAGTGGTTAATAAACTTCACAGCTTTATTCTGTGAAATCAGCCCCCAACCCCCTAAATAAACTTTACAGCTTTATTCTGTGAAACCCTCCCCAAACCCCCTTAACTTTACAGCTTTATTCTGTGAAACCCTCCCCCAACCCCCTTAACTTTACAGATTTATTCTGTGAAACCCTCCCCCAACCCCCTTAACTTTACAGCTTTATTCTGTGAAACCCTTCCCCAACCCCCTTAACTTTACAGCTTTATTCTGTGAAACCCTCCCACAACCCCCTTAACTTTACAGCTTTATTCTGTGAAACCCTCCCCCAACCCCCTCAACTTTACAGCTTTATTTTGTGAAACCCTCCCCAACCCCCTAAACTTTACAGCTTTATTCTGTGAAACCCTCCCCCAACCCCTTAACTTTACAGTTTTATTCTGCGAAACCCTCCCCCAACCCCCTAAATAAACTTAACAGCTTTATTCTGTGAAGCTCTCCCCCAAACCCCTAAACTTTACAGCTTTATTCTGTGAAACCCTCCCCAACCCCCTCAACTTTACAGCTTTATTCTGTGAAACCCTCCCCAAACCCCCTTAACTTAACAGCTTTATTCTGTGAAACCCGCCCCCAACCCCCTAAACTTTACAGCTTTATTCTGTGAAACCCTTCCCCAAACCCCCTTAACTTTACAGCTTTATTCTGTGAAACCCTTCCCCAACCCCCTTAACTTTACAGCTTTATTCAGTGAAACCCTCCCCAAACCCCCTAAACTTTACAGCTTTATTCTGTGAAACCCTCCCCTAACCCCCTTAACTTTACAGCTTTATTCTGTGAAACCCTCCCTTAACCCCCTTAACTTTACGGCTTTATTCTGTGAAACCCTCCCCCAACCTCCTAAACTTTACAGCTTTATTCTGTGAAAGCTTCCCCCAACTCCCTAAACTTTACAGCTTTATTCTGTGAAACCCTCCCCCAACCCCTTAACTTTACAGCTTTATTCTGTGAAACCCTACCCCAAACCCCCTAAACTTTACAGCTTCATTCTGAGAAACCCTCCCCCAACCCCCTTAACTTTACAGCTTTATTCTGTGAATCCCTTCCCCAACCCCCTCAACTTTACAGCTTTATTCTGTAAAAACCCTCCCCCAACCCCCTTAAACTTTAATTTGAAATAATTCAACCCAAGAAACAGACCAGAGTGAATTATGAACTGAAGGAGTTTTAAGAACACTATGTATTTTGTTGTATAGTTGGATGCTGTACCTTCCGAGGATGTTGATATTACCATCCAAAGAAATATTTACCAAGCGGCAAAAGAGCAAAATGATAAAAAAGAAATGGAAGAGAGTTGGGCCAATATAGCAGCCATTATGAAGGTAAGTGTATGACTTTAAACAAATGAAGATATTTTGATGAAATCAGAGGCAATATTCATCCTACTGTTTAGATCAGGAAGAAACTTGACACTGTAGACATTTCTTTCATTTGTCTTTGCATATCAAATCTCAACATGATGACAAAATTGGCAACAAACATGAAGTTAGGAATGTGTTAATTGAACAATACCCACTAAGGTGTGGTTATACTTCTCTAGACAAGAAGAAAAAGGAAAACCAAGTAATCTTTTATAAAGCTCAATTGCCAAACAAAATAGCACCCATTGTGGTGTCGTTTTTCCTAGGTTTGTTCCTGTGATGCACTCCCTAAACAGTCAATGAATTCCCAATAAATGATCATATGATTTACTTAATAAACAACCAATGAATTCCCTAGATTTGATCATGTGATGTACTTAAAAACAACCAATGAATTCCCTAGATTTGATCATGTGATGTACTTAAAAACAACCAATGAATTCCCTAGATTTGATCATATGATGTACTTAATAAACAACCAATGAATTCCCCAGATTTGATCATGTGATGTACTTAAAAACAACCAATGAATTCCCTAAATTTGATCATGTGATGTACTTAATAAACAACCAATACATTTCCTAGATTTAATCATGTGATGTACTTAATAAACAACCAATGAATTCCCTAAATTTGATCATGTGATGTACTTAATAAACAACCAATACATTTCCTAGATTTGATCATGTGATGTACCGGTACTTTATAAACAACCAATACATTTCCTAGATTTGATCATGTGATGTACTTATTAAACAACCAATACATTTCCTAGATTTGATCATGTGATGTACTTGATAAACAACCAATACATTTCCTTGATTTGATCATGTGATGTACCGGTACTTAATAAACAACCAATACATTTCCTAGATTTTATCATGTGATGTACTTATCAAACAACCAATACATTTCCTAGATTTGATCATGTGATGTACTGGCGCTTAATAAACTACCAATGAATTCCCGAGATTTTAACATGTGATTTAGGAAGTATATAGTGGGTCACCACTAGTGCAGTATGTACAATTCTCACTTTCAAGGTCAAGTTTGCTTCAGATTTTTTTCTCTCCAATATTCATTATAACAACGGTGAAGTGTATTCCTTGACAATGTATTATTTTGTTACAGAAACGAGAGGAGACTGACAGCATCATAAAGCAGATTGTATCACTAGTGGCAGGTGACTGGAACTTTAGGGAACAGTACCAGATGTTGACAGGGGAGAACGACCTGTTCAAGCTTGATTGTTACGCCCCCATTGTGGAGCACCTGAAGGACAGCTGTGGCGATCTGGATCTACCATCCGTAAGTACATAACTGTATCTGTGTCTAAAGCATTGTATATGTCAACAGCCCCCAAGGATTCGTTAAAGTCATTATTCCTTTTATCACACACACTAAAGAGTTATACGTTGTAATAGAACCATCACCCAAACATTTTATATCTATAACACTGCGTACATGTATGTATAATCCTCCAATGTGACGTCCTAAAGAACAATACAGTGAAGACAAGAAATTATGTCTAAGAGAAAACTGATGGTGTTTTTCCTCACTTTGTTTTCTGCTGATTTGTTTTGATAGGTTACATTGTCAATTGATTTGGATGTCACTTTTTTCTGTTAAATTTTTTGACATAATCATTCATTGTCAACTACTTGAGATGTTTTCCTTACTTTTGTGTGGTCAATTTTGTGACAAATTTGTTCATCGGTCAGCTAGTTTGGATTATTTTTCTGACACTTTTTGATATAAAACTTCTAGTCTTTGTTGCCATTCCATGTATAGTTTGATATGGATCATTGTATTGTTCCGAGATCCTTTTTACAATTTATGGACCTTTGTTTGCCAGTAATCATCACATAATTAGTGTCTTTATTAGATTTCCTACCCATTATGATGATTTTCATTTGTTGTAGAATCGCTATTCCCTGAAACATCTGCGGATTGTGGTGAACCTATGTGAACGCCCGTACTCGACTGACGCCATAATCAGTGCAATTGACAAAGTGTGTGTGTAGGCTGTAGACTGATGTCTTACTTTGTCTGCCATGTTTTACCGGTGAAACCCATACTGGGATCACACCAACGCATCGTAACTTCACACTGATTGTTTCAACTGTCTTAATGATGATCAGTTTTTATAAAACCAGAAATCCACGATCTAATATTCGTAACTACATTCCATCCAGAAATATTCTGTTATTTAATTCAATGTTATGATGATTTATATTCATTTGAGCAAGTTAAATCTTAAGTACAACCTACTAGCTGCTGTGAGTAGGTTAGATTTGAAGAAAATAATTCATGAAAATGGATATAAATGTAAATGATAATTCTTCATGATATTATATAATTGTTATATACATTTATATAATTGTTATATACATTTATGTAATTGTTATATACATGTATATAACTGTTATTACTTTTATATGACTGTTTTATGTATTTAACTCATTCACCCCTGAAGACACATTGAACTCTTCCTATATAGCTATTCAAAGGTTGGAATAGTTCATTATCGAAGTTCAGGGGTGAATGAGTTAAATGATTGATATACACAGTTATATATATGTCTGGTTTCATACTTTGTGTTACATTTCCAGTTATAAACAAAATGTATGATATAAACTAGTGTATGCTGATCCAGTATAATGTTTGAATTTCTAATGTCAAAAGACACATTTTCAGAAAATCTTTTCTGTTTGACAGATGAGTACATTTTGTGAAAGATGTAGTACTTTGTGAACAATGTCATCAAAATATTTCCACATTTTCCTTTGACAGACCGTAAACACAAACCGATGAAAAAGCATGTCACAAACAAATACATTATTTTTATTATACATCAATCCCATGTATTGTTTTTTATTACTGAGAAATGATGCAGTGATATTGTAGCAGTATGATAATAGTATGAAGTTTTACACAGAAGTTTTATACCACCTTCGATACTTTTCATTGGTCACATTCGACCTTGGATGATTCTCATTGGACACATTTGACCTTGGATGATTTTCATTGGACACATTTGACCTTTGATGATTTCTCTTGGTCACCTTTAATAAGATACTCTACAAGTAATTTTGTGCAATGAAATGGATTCTAACAATTCTATCATTAATTGATAGTAATAAAAATCGATTTTTTGTGAAAGTGTTGATAAATTATTTCATTTACCTTTTAATATAGAAAATGTGAGACAAAACTTAAATTGTGAAAATTAGTTAAACAGTTTGGTCAGAATTTATGTGAAAAGGTCAAGGTATAAATGAAAGATTTTAAATCTTCAGTGTAACCATGTAAAATAAAAAAAAGTAGAAAGTTCCACGGTGTAGATATGCTTGTATTTTTACGTTATTGAGTAAATTAGTAAGAAAAGATCCACATGCAAATATTTATTTATAGGTTAAATATATGTATAACAAATATATTTTAGAAGCATTGCCAACATAAAAATGTGATCAGTTGAAAGAATCACAATGAAAACATGAAACTGTAAACGTTCAAAGTAATTAACTACGAACGTATCGTTCTGTTATTGTGCACTATGAAATGTTTTTTATTTATTAATGCAATATTTGATATGTATTTTTATTTAGTGTACATCTTTTTAAAACTTGACTCTGGACTTGGTTCCGACATTGAGATTGATGTATAACGTTAGACAATCTGGAATTCTCCAGGATCGTCTAGCTAAAACACAGTATACACTGGCCCATCATATCGCATGATATTAATATCCTGTGGATAAATATTGATTTTTTTTAAACTTTGTAATATTTGGCAAAATAATGTGGTATTTGTTCATGCATCAATCTTTATGTTAAGGCCCGAGATTTCTTGAACAATGTTTCTCAAAATTTTCAGTAAATGTTTGAAGCTTTTGAAATAAAGTTTGAATGATGTATGAAGAATTGATATTTTTTAGCATAATGGTTCAAATGAGGAAAAGTGTAACAATTTCCTACTGTGCTATAAAGCCTTGTGTGACTCAAGCTAAATCTGTAATAAGTAGTTCTTGGTCATCCTAGATCTGTGTATAACATAGCCAGGACCATTCTTGATTCCTGAATAACGATACTTGGTAGTTATTGATCTCTGGATAACAATACTTGGTCGTTATTGATCTCTGAATAACAATACTTGGTCATTATTGATATCTGGGTAATGATACCTATTCGTTCTTGATCCCTGGAAAATGATATTTGATCGTTATTGATCCCTAAGTAACGATACTTGGTCATAATTGATCTCTGAATAATTATACTTAGTCAATATTTTCCTTTGAACGACTTCATCTGAAAAACTTGCAGACCTAGGGTCATGATGTTTGGCCAATAGGTTCCTGGGATGGAGTGCTCTAAAGTTTCTTAATTAAAATGACCTTGACCTACTTTCAAGGTCACAGGGGTCAAATATGTTTAAAAAAAAAACAATATCCAAAGAACCATTTGGACTAGAATTATGATACTTTGGTATGTTATGTAGATCAGCAGTGCAAATCTTTTTCGTAGTTTCAGTAATGAGGTGAAAGGTCAACTTTAAGTGCTAGTAAGTGGTCAAAGGTCAACAAGGGTTAAACGCTTTAACAATCTTCTATAGTTCCTTAAGGCCCAGGGTCATGACATTTGGCCAGAGGTCAATTTTAAGTGCTAGTCGAGGGTCAAAGGTCAACATTTGTTAAAAGCTTTAAAACTCAAATTTCGAATTTCGAACAGCATTTTCTTCAGAACCGTTTAAGAGATGTTAAAATGTCTTGTCTTCTAGTTACCAAATTTGTTCTGAAGTTACCTGTATGTCAGTTTCATGTAACAAAAGAAACAGGTGAGTGATACAGGCCCTCTGGGCTTCTTGTTATTGTTCCTTTACATTTTGCCAACATTCTTGTAACCTGTCCTGGTTTGGATACTCCGGTACTGGTAGCTGTTGCAATGGAACCTGATGGAATTCTCAACTGCCCTTCGAGTGTTTTTAGCTGAAGAGGAAGGTCAGCATGTTGCAGGTATGATCATTCTTCATCTGGTAATCGATATCCTAAATAATTACTTTCTGTTGACGACAGCTTTCAAGACTCTTGCTTCAATTTCAATGAAACAGCTCAAATAAAGCTGGGTGGTCCATCTTTCAGCACGGTAACGTTTTAAGTTACACTTGGACTTGGGCTTTATCATGTGAAGAATAAGCTTTACAACCACGGGGAAAGTACCTCATCAACTAAAACCTCTACATAGGAGTTAACTCCGATCTATATCTAATATATGTGTAATGTGGAAAAAGAGCAGTGAGCCCGATGATTGCAAACAATAAGACCAAACAGATAATGATTTTAGCATCCCTTGAAACATCCACCTGGTCATCATTGTAAAGTTTTGTTTGACCGAACGGTCATTTTTACCTTGACCATAGTCGTGTGTTTACTCTTATGGAACACCTGGACCCGGTTTCATTTACTAGCTCAATTCCTATTCCCTATGTTTGTCACTATTATTCACTATCTGGTAAGTAAACTTAGCCCTAACGTGTAGCCAAGTTCCATTACTCATGCGTGCTTACTTTGAATTTTAGAGTCCTAACGCTGTGTTGTTTCCCCAACGAGGACATCCGATTTGTTCAGATTTTATCTTAGATCTTGGAATTCCATGCCGATTTACCATTGGAAAGAGTAGTCACTATAGTGTTGCTAACCATTTATCGACCTATTCTTAAACACTATATAAACCATTATTAATCAAATCCTTGTCATTTTCTGTCTACTCTAAATATAGAAATTCACTAAATTTCAATAATAAGCCTGTTTTTGGAGAGGAATTTATATAAGCTCCAGGCTTGTTTTACAATCTATCTGAAATTATATGTATATAATATCATTGCCTCAATGTTGAATAAAATACTGTTTAAACTTAGCCGGATTTGAAGGAGGCCCGCTTTGAAAATAAACCTTTGATTCCTTGCAGTCGAATACATGTCGAAAGTCAACCGACTTCGCAAATAGGCCTGCCTTGAAATCCACGTATTTCCAAGATGATGGACCGTGCAAATCGAAAACGGAGAAAAACTGTGTCCAAGAAACCTTGATTAGTGGACTCATATTAATCGTCCTATCGCAGTTCTTATGATAAATTTCACATTCAGATACTTTCCTATGGACTATGATCTTAATGTAGAGGCAGATATATGCCTGCGTTCAGAATAAACCACATTAAACTAAGTTACGTTAGATTTACTTAATTTCCCAACTGTTTAGATACATACTTCCGGTTGTTAAAGCAATACCTCACAGAACATTTCTTCTTCGTTCTAAAATGTTAATGTAGAATACGATCATGTCCAGCCTTTATGTACTTTTAAGATATCAGTACTCGAAATAGATGTGTATTTGAAGAAATTACAGTTTAGTGGCGTTATTTATGCGCGCGCATGTCTTTAGACCGTTAATTATAACACAGCACGTTTCTGCCATCAAGATTATCAAACAGTTTAAACTCCCTAAAAAGCCTGCATCCTATAAGTATATAATACGTACGTTATGATCTATAACGACAGATATAAGAGAATGAATTGTAAATGGAGAAAAAATAGTATAGTTTATTAAAATTTCGATATTCTACTCCTGATCTACCCGAACTCTCCATATTAGCCCGAGGCCGGGTCAGATGCCCGAGGGCTGATACGGGATGGGATATAGAAATTATCATATTATGATGCATAACCTTTTTGAAATATTGAACTACACTTTACAAGTTTCACAACAACATAAAATTAATAAGCATTTACACAAATCGTAAAGTACAAATCAGGTCTGACTTCTCAGAAATGTTTTGAAGTGGAAGTAACATTGATATGGCGCGTGCAGTGGAGTAACAATAATAATAATAATAATTCGAGGTTCTTATATACCGCTGTATCACAACCTAGTCCGTAGGTCGTCTCAAAGCGGTTCACAAACTATTATCCGTGGTTATAGGGCCTTTGCAACCAGCCAATATCGTTCTCAACTCCCTGGGGAGCAAACAGCCGGTGCTGCCATTTCGGCGTTAACAGCTATCATTCAACAAGTTTAGCACTGCCCAACCACGTACTCATTTACAGCTGAGTAGACTGGAACAAGCGGAGTAAAGTATCTTGCTCAAAGATACAACACAGTGCCGTGCCGTGACTCGAACTCGCAACCCTTCTGTCACGAGCCCGGTAGACTACCGTGCCTCCAGTAATGGTGTGTGCCGAGTGGATATATGGCCTATATACAATAGCAGTATGGCACATGTATATCAATTTAATCATGTTGGTTATTGATTAATTCGGGATCAGTTGTCCTAGGTGTCTTAAAAACTAATTTAAAATCTGTAAAGATTATGTTCG